TATCATCGGCATCAGCAGCAGCATCATCATCCCTCGAGCTGGAGTGGTTCCGGGGTAGGCGTGCGAAGGAGAGTCACACTCCGGCCTGCGGGCTGCGGCCCCTGACCCAGGCTGGAGGGCAAAGACCAGGACGCGCTGCCAGGGCAGGGGGAATCGGCGGAGGAGGAGGAGAGGCCCGGAGGGAGAAAATGGCAGACATTTACTGGGAGCAACATGCAAGGACCGCCCGGAAGGGGAAGGAAGAGGCGGGGGGCGGGAGGCGGTCATCGGGGCGTCGTCAACCGTGTGCCGTCGTGGACGTCGCGTTTCGGTGGGGGTCGTCGCGGTGGCCCCGGTGGTCGTGATCGTCGTGTTGGTCGAGGTGGTGGCCGCGCTAATGGTGGTCGCGCAGCCGCCGGTCCGGGCGTCGCGGTGGCCGTGGTGGACGCTGTGGTCGTGATAGTCCTGGTGATCGAGGTGGTGGCCGGGTTCTGGTAGTCGCGCCGCCGCCAAGCGCGCTGGCGGTGGGCAGGGTCGTGGCAGCCGCCGCGCAGGCGCCGCCGCCGCCCCTCCGGCGACGGGCTGCCGAGGGAGTCGCGCTGGCGGCGCCCCGCGGCCCCCCCGACGTGCGGGCCTGAGCCTTGGGCGCGTAACAGGCGTCCAGGATCTTCTCCGCGCTGCCGACGACCAGCGTGCGCTGGATGCGGCGCCGCGCGGTGGCGATGACCGCAGACCGCTCCGCCTCGGGCAGGTTTGCGCCGCGGGAGCGGGCGATCGAGGCGAGTTCATCCGCTGGGCGCCCTTTCGTCTCCAGGACGGCCAGGACCAGCTCGCCACCCGATGAGGGGGGTAGCGGTTGCGCTTGACGCCCGCAGCCTGCGACGCGGCCAACCCGTCGGTGTTGCATCGTGCCCACCTGCGCTCGAGGCTGTCGGAGTGCGCGCGGGTGACCGACCAGTGAACGTAAGTAGGTTGTCTGGTGGCCGCGTCGCAGGTCGCCACGCCACGTCCAGGCGGGATTCCTCCACCTCCCCCGTGTCTGGGGCCACGCGGTCCCAAGCGAGGACCCATTCTTCGGTGACCGCCACGTGGCCGGCCTGCGCCTGGTGGAGAGGCGCACTCCAGTCTCGGAGGCTCTTGCGGCGGTGGTCGCGAGAGCGTGTACCAGCCGCACCTCAGGGGGTGCCGGCCCTGGGCGGCCAGGGGCGCACCACAGACTGTGCCGTCTCACTTGCGGTGCTGGCGGGGCGCCCCCGGCGTGCAGACGGGCCCCTCCCTCCCCCTCCCCCCTCCTCCCCTCATCCCGCCTCCCCCTCATCCCATGAGCTCGCCTTCTACGAGCCGTACTAGATCTGCATCAAGTGTGCTTGTCGGGCTTTGGAGGGGAGGGGACACCTCAGAGGCCTCTCGGAAGTTTGCTCACCTCCTTCTAAAAAATGGAGTTGGGTTATGTCTCGCGCGTTTCAAGGGAGGCCACTCAAATGAAGTCCTCCAGAGAGCCCCATCCGTCCAGACACCGTCTGATTGGGAAAGTCCTTTGGAAAGTCCACAATCACACAATATGAATACTACTCTCCTCTCTCCCCTGATGACGTCTGGAAGATAGCCGGCCCCCCTCCACGTACTGTTTTTTGCACACAGGATACCCAGGAGTTGGGTTTTCGCTTGGGCTTTTTCTCAAAATGTTGCTCCCGCTGCAGCGCTGGCCTCATTTCCGGGCTTCCGCTCGTTCCGAATCGTGCTCCCGCTGCAGCGCTGGCCTCATTTCCGCGCTTCCGCTCGTCCCGAATCGTGCTCACGCTGCAGCGCTGGCGTCATTATTTCCAGTGCCATGCCAAAGCATGGTTTTCGGTCCTTCCAACTAGGCCCAAAAATCTAGAAAATGGCCTCCCGAAAAAACCATCCGACGTGATTATACATTCTGTGTCGATTCGTTGATTTTTGGGGCCGCAGCCCCACTTTGTTTGGGGACGTCGCCACGCCACGCTATATCATTGATCTTCAACACCATGCTATGCCATGTAATGCTATGCCATGCTACGACATCCGACTGTGCGAATGGGGGAGACCTACGCCATGGTAAGGGATGGGAGGGAGGGGGAAGGACGAGCGCACTCCTCCCCTCCCTCTCTCCGCTGTGCTCCCCTCTATCTCTCCTCCCTGCTTCCTCCGCCGTCCTCGGATCGTGGTCGCCCCCGCCGCTGCCGCCAGCTGCCGCCGCCGGTGGAGAAGGACACTCACCACCACCGCCACCTTGGCAGTGTTGGATACAGCGAGGAAGTCTTGCGCAGCGCGTCGCGGCGGTGGCCCCTGCGGCACGCCTCTGCGTGATAGCGTGTCGCTCTGCCTCTCGGGATGGGAGAATGGGAGGATCGGGGGCGGCCAAGATGGGGGCGTCCAAGAGGGGGGGGGTGCAAATCATGGCCGGCGGCATTTGCGCGGCCCGAGAGGGGGGCGAGGGACGTGTTAAATAAGAAGAGGCGCCATGAAACCTGGGGAGATATCATGGCCCCCGCCATGATATCCATCCCCACCCCTCCCCGAGAAGAGCTGGGAACGTTGCTGCTGGGTGACCGGGGCGCGCTGTGCTCAGCGTGCCGCGCCGAAACGCGGCAGGCCAAAACTGGTGCCGCGACAAGCCGAGCAGACGCTCTGGGCCGTGCCCTGCCTCGCGGCGTGCGGGCATGCGGGTGTGCCCCCTCGAGAGCGCCACGAGGGGTACGCGTCTCTCAATGGGGCCGAAGGACACACAAAGAAATACACGCACAAACAACTCCCAGGCTTCCCCATATTCTTCCACATCTTCTGGATGTTCGTTTCCTCCCCCCACTTCCCATCCTTTTCCATGTTTTCCTGGGGCTCGACGATTATTTGTGTCTGTGTATGTTTTCCTTTCCTGAGTCTCTCCCCCCCGTCCAAGTTGGAGGCCTCTCTAACGGGGCCAGAGCAGATGGGGCCAGAGGATTGCACCGCATCGCTGATGCACAAGCGGCATCGGGGCGGGGAACATCGGGCTCCAGTTCGCACCGCATCGCCGCTGCATCGGCGATGCGGCGCGATCCTCTGGCCCAATATACTCCTACAGCCAGCTCGTATCAGAAGGACGCGCGGTGAGGATGCAAGGGCCTTGGAGGGCCACGTCAACATTCTTCGAACGAGGTTGGCCGACGAGAGTGGCCAGGATGGACCGAGGAGGCGAGGATGCAGGGGCAACCTCGGACAAATGGCCCACCTTTGCTACGTGAACGGGCTGACCGCAAAATCTACCCCGCCAAAAGCGGCCTGGAGCCACCGTGCCAGGCCGGGGGCCATCCTGGGCCCCGCGATGGTGTGCGGGGCCCCCCCCCCCCCGGCCTCGGCCTCGGCCGGGAGCGCGCAACTCGCCGTGCCCAGGCCCAGGGCCCCGGCCTGGCACGGCGTGGTGGCGCGCGGGCGCCTCCCGCGGGGGGGGGGGTCGTGACTGGTGGTGGCCCGCTCGCCGCCGAGGAGGCCCGCGGGCGCCAGCGGCGGGCCCAGACCCGAGACCCCCTCCTCGAGTCGTGGAAAGATCACGACGGGAGGTTTTTTCCCACGTCTTCGGCCTCGGGGGGGCCCTCACCGGGCCTCCGGACCGTCCAAGGGCGCCTCGGGGCGACCAAACCCGTCCTGGGGAACGGGTCCGGACCTCTCGGGGCCGACGCCATGAAGAGATCGTGACGTCGGGGGGCTGGGGGCACGCTGCTGCTGCTGAACGCCAGAATGAGTGCCCCACTGATCTCGTGACAGAGCTCTTTATTACTGCCCAAGAAAATTCAACGTTGCCGCGTCCATTCTGTAGCGTTGCCACCTTGCGGCGCATGTTGGCGGGCATGTTTGGGGGCCCCTCTCGGGAGCTCAACGGGGGGAAGCCCTCGGGAGCCCAACGGGCCTGGCGCGACGCCCGTGCTGGCCCCGCGACCCAGAGAGGGGCTGCCCCCGTGTCGGCCATGGCCGCCGCTCCCACGCGTCGGCCTCGTGACGCGAACAGCGTGGACGGCGCCACAGTTTAGAGAATGGCGCAGCCTGAGGAAAAAAAAAAAAAAAAAACTCGGACGCAGAAGCGAGCACCAGGGAAGAGGGCCCCCTGGCGCAGGCACGCCCCGGCCCCAGGTGCTCTCCCCAGGGCGGGCCCTTCGGCCTGCGCCGCCGCCTCCGCACCCGGGCCCCGCTGCGCCCACCGCGCCCCGCGAGGCGCGACGCACGGTCACCCCCGCGCTCTCGCTCCCTCGCGCCGCCGCCCCGGGGGGAGGGCAGCGCCTCCGGCCCAGACCGCACGGGGCACGAGACGCGATCCTCTTCGCGCCCCCGCGGGTGGCATGGCCCACGGCCCAGGGCCCCCGCGGCAGGGCCCGGGGAGCCCAGGGGCCCGAAGACCGCCGCAGAGACTCCAGGAAGCCTCTCCTCCACGCCCGCCCCCCCTCATTCCTGAGATCCGCCGGCACGCAAAAACTGCAGCACCAGAACAAAACCCTCCACCGGAGCCCCGGACATGATCTAGCTGCGGCACTCCTCGAGCCAGATCGATCCGCGTTGGTCCCGGGGCCCGAAAGAGGGCAAAAAAGTCGCCCGCTGCGAAAATTCGGTGGCTACGCATGGGGGCCTCCCATACCATCTTGTTGGCTCTTGCGAATCGACGCTAGTCGACGCCAATCGACGCTAGCCGACGCCAAATCGTGGCTATCTCGCCGACTACCAGACGCTAATCGACGCAAGTGCACTCTAAAGACGGAATTACGAGGGTACACAAAGCTCCCATGATGTGCTACCGAGCAAAAACATTGCGACGCGAGCATATCAAGGCTCCGCCAACCCCCACACCCCTCAGTGCCGAAGCGGGGCGGCGGCGGGACCTCGCGCTCGGGGTCGAGCTGTCCATGGCGCCCGGGGCTGGGCCAGCCGTGGCCGCGGGGGGGGCTCCCAGGTATCCGGGCGGCGCGCTGAGCCAGCGGGCTTTCCGTCGGCCCCTGCTCCTCCGCCGTCTGGTTATCCTCGCTGCCCTCCTCCTCCTCCTCCTCCTCCTCCTCCTCCTCGTCCTCCTCCTCTTCCTCCTCCCCCTCCTCCTCCTCCTCCTCCTCCTCCTCCTCCTCCTCCTCCTCCTCCTCCTCCGCCTCCTCCCCCTCCTTTTCCTCCTCCTCCTCCTCCTCATTTTCCTCCTCATCCTCCACCTCCTCCTCAATTTCTTTTCCGTGTGAATAACTTCTCCCTGTCGCACCCCGAGGCAAGTTGTTAGGGCGGACCGGGTATTTCGCTTGAGACTTCCTCACCATTTATGACTCTGAAGCTTGAAAATTGGCACCAACTTCACAGATGGAGGGCAACTCGATGTTTAAATATAGCTCGCGCCTTAGCGCGGCGCACATTAATTCTACAAAATTGCAAGAACTTCACGGATTGAAAGCCAGTGGTTTTCAGAATGTGACTCTCGCCTCAGCGCGGCGCACATTCGTTTTGAAAAAACAATAGTTCCACGGGTGGTTTTCAAAATGTGGTTCTCGCCTTAGCGCGGCGCACATCCCTTGTAAAAACTTGAAAGAGCTTCACGGATTGAGGGCAGGTGGTTTTCAAAATGTGACTCTCGCCTTAGCGCGGCGCACATCCGTTTGAAAAATTTGCAAGAGCTTCACGGATGGAGGGCGGGTGGTTTTCAAAATGTGGCTCTCGCCTTAGCGCGGCGCACATTCGTTTTACAAAATGTGCAAAAGCTTCACGGATTGAGGGCGGGTGGTTTTCAAAACCTGGCTCTCGCCTCAGCGCGGCGCACATTCGTTTTTTAAAGTTGCAGGAGTTTCACGGGTTCCCATCATCAGGTGCCAGAGTTGGTGCTTTGAAAGGATTCTGGATTATGCGGGTGCAACAGTTATGTTTGTTCGCTGCGCTGGAGTCCCAGAAATGGTGTTCTGGCACTGGCACGATTCGGGATTATCAAAACGCAACAGTCAGGCTGATCCGTGGCATTGGCATCCCGAGAACAATGTTTTGACATGCTTCAGGATCTTCAATCGGTTGTCATCCAGAGAGGCGGTTCCTTCAAAGGAATAAACCGTTGTAGGGGCCTGCGAAGAGGGAGTTCGGAGGGAGCGTTTATTCGAACATCGTTGATAGCTCTTGGGTCTACACTGGTCCTCTTCCTCCTCCTCCTCTTCCTCTTCCTCCGCCTCCGCCTCCGCCTCCGCCTCCGCCTCCGCCTCCTCCCCCTCCTCCTCCTCCTCCTCCTCCTCCTCCTCCTCCTCCTCCTCCATTCCTTTCCCTTATAAACGGCTCTCCCTGTCGCACCCCGAGGCAAGTTTTAGGGCGGGCCAGGCATTTCGCCTGAGACTTCCTCACCACCGATGACTCTGAAACTAAAAGTTGGCAACCGCTTCACATATGGAGGCCGGTTGGTTTTCAACATGTGACTCTCCCCTTAGCGCCGCGCACAGTCGTTTCTAAAAAAATGCAAAAAAAAAAAAAAAAAAAAAAAAACAAAAAAAAAAAAACGGATTGAGCATCACCCATTTTCAACATGTGCCTCTCGCCTTAACGCCGCGCACATACGTTTAAAAATGCAAGAGCTTCACGGATTAAGGATCACCCGTTTTCATAATGTGGCTCTCGCCTTAGCGCCGCGCACACTCGTCCTAAAAAATTGCAAGAGTTTCGAAGGTTCACAGCGGTTCCTTTTCAATATGTGGCTCTTGCCTTAGCGCCGCGCACACTCGTTGATCAGAGTTTGACTGAATCCCATGATCAACGTACCAGACATGGTGTCTTGAAAGGATTCAGGATTTTGCGGGTGTAACAGCTGGCCAGACAGTCACGTTGATTCGCGGAGTGGAAATCCCAAGAATGGCGTTCTGGCACGATCCAAGATCGTCAAGACGCAACAGTCAGGTTGATCCGTGGCGTTGAAATCCCGACAACACTGTTTTGCAATGTTTCAAGGTCTTCAAACTGTTGTCTTCCAACGAGGCAGATCCTTCAATGGAAATGAACCTATGTAGGGGCCTGTGAAGATGGAGCTTGGAGAGAGGGTGTATTCCAACATCGTTGATGGCTTTTGGGCTTACATTGGTCCTCCTCTTCCTCCTCCTCCTCCTCATCCTCCTCCTCCGCCTACTCCTCCTCCTCCTCCTCCTCCGCCTCCTCCTTTCCTTTCCCTATAAACAACGTCTCCCTGTCGCACCCCGAGGCCAGTTTTTAGGGCGGGCCGGGCGTTTCGCCTGAGACCTCCTCACCACCTATGATTCTAAATAATAAAAATGGCAACGGTTTCATAGAAGGGGGTGGTTTTCAAAATGTGGCTCTCGCCTTCGCGCCGCGCACATTTGTTTTTTCTACCAGAGATTCACGGATTGAGGGCGATTGGTTTTCAAAATGTGGCTCTCGCCTCAGCGCGGCGCATATTCGTTTAAAAAATCGAAGAGTTTTACGGATTGAGGGCGGGTGGTTTTCCAAATGTGGCTCTCGCCTTACCGCCGCACACATTCGTGCTAGAAATTTGCAACATGTTCACGGATTGAGGGC